TTTAAAAGACTAATTTTGTTTCTGACAACGGGCCCCAGAGATGTAGGAGTCGAGAATCTGGTTGTGGAGACGAGAGTAAGTGCACGTGCTTACGCGCGTGTGCGCGTTGTCTTTGTCTCTGTGTGCAAGAAGATGTGACGTGAGCAGATATTAAAGTTTATGCAGTTTAAAACACAAGTTTGAATTTATATCATCATTTATTCAACAAACCTTCAATTTATACGTTACAGTTACACAGCGGTATCTTTATTACTGTACTACCGGTATAGCAAAGCCTAGCTATCATAGATTTTAGATCTGTATTAGTAGTATCCTAGATATATGCTCTGAGCGCGAACGCGGTGATGGGAGGGTGCTCTTCATTCGTTTGCCAGCGAGTTTAGCATCAGAACACCTGCCGTCAGGTTAGCGCTGTCGCTCTGCGGCACTTGTTACAATAAAGTCCACTCCATTTTTGCTTGGTACATGGGGCTGAGTAGAGGAAGGTTTGTGATCGCGATCTGCGATATTCAATATGGCCGCACTGGTGAACTTAAATGGATTCATAATAAGATAAATTACATTATTTTGTTGCCTTACTATTGTTAATTTCCCTTGTTTTCTCAGGTGGCGTATAGCGGTGCATGGAGCAGTCGATGGATACTCAAGATTGATAGTTTTTCTGAAGGCTTCCATCAACAACAAGGCGACAACAGTACATCAACACTTTGAAAATGCTGTGAAAGAGTATGGCTGGCCGTCACGGGTTCGAGTGGATAAGGGGGGAGAGAATACCCTTGTCTGCGATGCAATGTTGCGCTATCACGGGGCAGGGCGTGGAAGCGCAATAAGAGGAAAGAGCGTCCACAATATCCGCATCGAGAGACTTTGGGTGGATGTGTGGAATGGCTCCACCAATGTGTTTTATGACCTTTTCTGCCAGTTTGAAGCGAATCATGTACTGGATCCGAATAGTGATGAGCAAATGTTTGCACTGCATTATGTGTACCTACCACGCATTCAGAAATCTTTGGATGATTTCACCGCCATGTGGAATCACCACACATTGAGAACAGCAAAATCATCTCCACTACAATTATTTGTCCAGCGTTCACTTGAGTTGCAACATTCTGCAAACACTGCAATGAGGGATATGTTTCGTCAAACGGAGGAGCCTGATAACGATGCAAATGGCGAGAGCGCCAATAGTGAACCCGAGAATGAAGACAATTTGACAATTGTGAATATTCCCGAGACCATTATGCCCATCACAGCAGATCACTACCAGTTGCTGCAGTCTCGCATCAACCCCCTACCTGAGGCCAATGAAATTGATAAAGGGCTCAACAAGTATTTCGAAGTTCTAGATTTAATTGATGATACAATCGCAAATGTCCAATAGTCAGATTATACATGTTATACAGGACATCATGCCACACTTTCTTATCTGTTGGATTAGAAATACGCCGACCATGGATTTAGGAAAAGTGGTTAAAAATATCGTTATTGCCTTTTTAGGGGTAAAGGACCCCAGTCAAACTTCCACACATTTTGGGTCTAAAATGTACATAATCCGGTGAAAGTTTGAAGTGATTTGATAGAGTAATAAATGCTACAGAGCCCAAAAGGAGGTGGCCATTTTATTTCTGAACAGATTTTAGTAAAATACTGTAACCTACTTGTTGTATTTCTAGAAGTAAAGTCGTAAGAGCTGACGTATAATATATAAACTCAACAAAGGATTTATTTCCAGCCACTCTCCAGCCTGCCACGTAGTAGAGTGACCACGCAAGTACATGGCTTTAGGAAATAGTATAGCGCCACCTATTGGGCCTAATATGGGCAAATGATACAATAATGTCACACTACTGTAAACCCCATTACTTTCGTGAAGAAAGGACAAAACGTGAACTTAAACGGAACGAAAATTTCAACCCCAATCCATTTTCCTTTAAAATTCTGTGTAAACATGGTTAATCGGTAAACAGGGAAAGAAGGGGGGGAGGAGGGGGGGGGGAGAAGGTGGTGAGGGAGGGAGGGAGGGGGTCGAGGTGGTAAGTGAGCGAGAGAGAGGGAAGGGGTCGAGGTGGTAAGTGAGTGAGAGAGAGGGATGGAGCGATCGAGGCGTCTTGTGCTCACTGGTCGGCCCGCAGCTAGAATGCACAATATATAATTATTTCCATTTCCATTTTTGTAATTTTGTTTTATTATACTTTTAATGTGGGGTTCTTTGGTGAGAAAATCAAATTGTTATTTGTGTAAGCCTATGAATATGCATGCTGCCGAACTTATTTCTCTTTTCTTATGCCATATATGTAGTTGTGCGGTATTGAAGGTATAAGTACAGAAAGTTTAAATTTATTGGTTGATTTTAGACTAAATGTTGGTTTCTTTTTTTATGTAATAAAATGACTTTGTACACAAGTATACAGGCCCGTAACCAGCGAGTTTTGCGGGGGGATCGAATTAGGTAACATCCGGAACTCGAGGGCGGAGCCGAGCGCGGCGGGGGGTATGGCGGGCCCTTCCCCAGAAAATGTTGAAAACATGGACCCCTTTAGCGCCATTCTGACGTATTTTCTGCTGCGTTTGAATACATTTTCAAACCCGTTTTTTTTGTAAAATAATGTTTATATATTACTGGAAACAAAGATAGTTTGGAACATACACATACGATGTGTAAACCGTAAACAGTAAAATGCCGGCTATACATAACATTGTGTAGCGTTTTCGCCGGCTCCAGTTATGTCTCCTTTTCCGGTCGTACTCTTCGCACGCACTTGTACGTGCACACGCACGCACGCACGCACACACGTTGACGTTCACACCCACGGACGCACGAACGTGGACTGTGGGTTAGTTACATATGTGGGGGACAGATGTGTTGTAGGCTGGAGAGACAGAGATGTAGGGGGTCGAGGGTCTGGTTGTGATGGTGAGAGTAAGCACACGCGCTTAGGCGCGTGTGCGCGTTTCTTTGTCTCTCTGTGCAAGATGTTACTACACTGTGCAAGATATTAAAATTTATTCAGTTTAATACGCAAGTTTTGATTCCTTCTTCAACATTTCTACATAGAACATTACATCAACGTTACAGCAATTATTGAATTTTTTAAGCAGCCCGGTCTATTTTGCTTTTCTTTGTATCACATCTACATAGTGTGGCGAACTTCTATTAGGACCCACATTCTTCGCTTCCCTTTTTATCTAGGCCGCCTTGCCTTCTTATCTAGGCCGCCAGTAATAACAATCCTCAGAAATAATTCGCGGGCGATTAAAGTTGTCGCTAGATGGCGCGGATCGTTGTTCCTGGAGATCGGCTACTGAGCAGCACGAGTTCGCTATCTTCTACGCGTGCACCCCTGACGAACGGAACAGACGTGTTCGCACCATAGAACTAGAATAGAAGTTCATATAGCACTTTAGTTTATCTTTTACTGTGATTAGCAAGTAATAGTGTCTATAGACTAGCTGTGCTGCTGTGTTGTTGGCCAAAACGTAGATTCGTTTACCGGTGACCAGTACGTACAATGCACCCGTTCCGGCAGAAATATTATATA